AAGGTATCTCCTCCACGGAGTATTGTTCGAGCAATGCCACCTCCAGCTCCAGCCTGTGGCTGATAATGGAGATTTTTTAAACTCTTGCAGCCTGGAGCTCAATTTGGGGGTGCTCTCGCTAAAAACTGATGCTCTGCACTCGAATACTCTATCCTGGTTGCCAGGTCTCGTACCCTCATGCGCCACTTTCCGCCATCGGGCGCCTTTAATCCTCATCCTTCTTACTCCCCAGCCACCACCTGCAGAATGCCATCATTCCAGCGCGTTGTTTCGTACGATTCGATTGCGGAACCCACCGCCCAGTTAGTTGGCTTGATGACTTGGGCAAAAAATAAAAGTCAGGACGTGTGAGTCCGAGTACCGCTTTAGCTCGAGATGCGAGTGTGACGTCCCACCAGCTCTCCGCACGCAACACGTATCACCACTCGACGCAAGTGCCGAGTGCTACCTCACCTTGGTGCTAATATACTTGTATATCAGGCACAGATTAGCCGGTAGTGCTGGTAGAGTGTCTGACCTCCATCTCCAAGGTCGGTAGGTCAGTAAGCAACTTAATCTGGTGTCACGAGATGACATTTCGCCTATGGTTTTAAACACTCGATTCTCGGTGAACATGGCCAGCCAAGTGCAGAGCAAGCATCACCACCAAGCAACCCTCTCAGTACTGCAGCACTGCCAAGCACTTCCAAAGGGTCCATAGCAATTAATCCCCTCCCTTGATACCATGAGCAGGCCATTGATGATGACAGTCGATGACTTGTCGCAGCCTTGCCGATCTCTCCTTGATATCGAATCCCCCTCCATCCTCACCAGCACGGACACGTCCAACGCGATCCAAACCTCTCCATTTCTCCACCGTCCGGGCCATTCCAGGGGCCATGACGCCAACCGCACCAAGCGTCGACGTGGAGGCCAGAGCCCGCCTTGATTGGGCAAGCCACCAGCAAGCAAACAAACGCCATTACTCGTAGCTAGCTAACAGCCTCAACTGACATGCCGGGCGGATCGTCGTCTCGTCACGCGGGTGCTGCTAGTCGCCGGCTGAACACGCAGCTCCCTGTAGCTCGTCATTAAACTGTTTCTGCTAGCACGACTTAACAGCATGAAGATTGGGGGTGCAAAGCACAGGGGAGGATGCAGTGCTGTAGCATCGAGTCGCAGATCGGTTTGAGCACCTTGTTGAGCAGATTAGATTACAGGCAGATGGACATGGACAATCAGAGCGCTGTGCTGCTAAAGAAAAGCTCCATGCTAATCCAGCTGTACAGGCAGCTAATAAGCGAAGCATATGCCTGGCCTCGACAACGCGTGAATCGCCGAATCTAGCAGTCTAGCTGCACCATGACGCCTTGCAATGGCCAATCACATCGCCAATACGGCACCTTTCTCTTGCTTGTTTCTCCTCATGATGCCCTCTTCGAATGCCCTCTCTTTCGCCTTGTGCGTCCAAAATGGCTTCAGCCGCACAACACAAGAAACGCTTGCCGCCACGTTTAATTACTTGCCCCCATGATGCTCCCGTGGCACAGATTCAAATGCTGCACAGACTGCACACCTGACGCAGGGAGAAGAGGATGCACGATGGTCAAGGCTCTCGGGACATTTTAATTGTTTCCAATTTTTTTCGGAGGGGGGCCTAGCACGGAGTTGGCCGTACGAATGATAAGATAACCCCTTTAGTAATTAATAGGTTGGATGGCATTTTATTGCCTTGAGATAGGGTTGATGCAAGACATTGAGAGAATATCCTACGGAATCAACTGATATGGGTTCAATGCTTCAGCCCTTTCCAGGGAACCACAACCCTTGTGTCTGCTTGTCCTATCCAAACTATCTAATCCAACTCTGAGGCCTCATTCATCTCATTCATCTCATTCATCCACACTCAATCCACGCCATGCATCGTACCATTGAATCCGTTCCAGCCTCTCCTTTCTCTCGCCATCCAGTCAAACCGGCAGACGCAGTCCATTGAACCCGATCTAGGGTAGCCTCTGCGACTGGTAGCGCCGACTTGCACACCCACTCGTTTCTCGACTTGCATCGTAACGCCCAACCACCTGCGAATCATCGCACCGTAACGATACAGGCGCAAATGAATGCCCTTTTTCCTTCTTTTACCTCTTGCTCTTGTCTGCATTTCCCTGCGCCAGACCGTCTTTTTGGCCGCTGCAAAACATGGTGATAAAATTAGTGCGCTTGGGAGTTGGTGGTGTCATCTATATGCGTGTCACCTGCAATATACCGTTGAATGTCGTACACAGTAAAGAATAAACGTATGATGGTGTTCCTCCTCCCGCTTGTACGAACCGAGATCGCCTCTGCCGAACCCCTGATTTACACACAGCAGCGGAGTTACGCCGGATTACAGCGCAACTTGGGTCATCCCGACTTCCAAGATACCACACTACCAAGGTAACACCAATGCAATGCAACACATGGGAGGGACAGACAGACAAAAACTCGGCTCCTTTACTTGAATCCGCCACCGAACACAGCGATACTTGTCCATTCCTCTCGCCCCCCCTCTTCTCAAGGCTCAATCATCCTAACCATCTACTTGATACTCTCTCTCTTGGAGGATGGCAGCCTTGGGCTCGTATCTGCTTCACTGCGTGTCTCAAGCACAACGCCACCAAACCGACAATCTGGCAGCGAGCTTCGCGGTGACTGGATCGAGTGATAAGGCTGGAACCTGCTAGTGCCGCAAAAACTGGGCATCTGACAAGACAACAAGCTTCGCGACACACACGGCGCTTCACCTTTGAAGATCCGCCCGCTCGAGATCCGGGCTTCCATTCGCCGCGATAACGTCTAGAGCTCTCTTTTCTTGGCGTCCCGGAGCTCCTGGCTTCCGTCTGGCTGGGTCAATGTACCTTGGACAGTGAGGCCGTACTGTATCGCAGCCCTCTGGTGAGAAAATCTGTCATCAGCTGTTTGCTTAGCCCTCCCACTCCTACAGCTGAAGCCCCAAGCCCGTGAGTGACTCCCCCAAAGCCTCGCGGATGCTGACTCCGTATCGCTCCCGTCCCGATGCTGCAACACTCAAATGCCCGTCATGGTGGCCCTCGAAATAGCATCATGCTTACTGTGCACTATAGGGTAGGGCCTAGAGGTCCGTACTAAAAGTGATGCAAAGTGATCCCCCAAGGAATGGCGTCATGGGCTCCCGCCGGCTGACACTGACACCAACCTGCCTTGCATGCGCCACAGCTGCCGAGCCCGCCAAAAAACCTTCTCCGCAGCCACTTTAGTACATACTCGAAGCTTTTGCGGAGGGCCCGTGCCAGCCACGGGGACACCAGCCACGGGCTCCATCCACACGAGTTTATTCCCAGGAGGGGACTAGCCGCATCTCTCTTTTCCAAAGAATGATAACGAAGCCAGAAATAGAAGGCTTCTTTGAACCCTTATTTGGTACCCTTCTTTTGCGCGTGGCGCGAAGCTCGCCGGGCTGTGCAACTCCTATTCCAAATGAGTATCTCCGTAGAAGCATTCTCTCAAAATAATTCACCGAACATCTTTAGAAAGAAGAAACACTGTATTCTCCCGGCCTGGCTCACTCTTATTATCTGTCAGCGAGTTTGAAACACAAAGAAAGGAAAGAAAAAAAATTAGTAGAAAAAATCAGACATGTCACTCTGCCCAACCCGGCCGTTTCAAACAGTGGCCACGAGCGTTTCAATCCGTGCGGCCCCATCCAACAACAAACCCCCCCTTCCAGCCCAACCCCAGGCGGGCACGTTGTTGTTTGACGATTGTTTCTCAATTTGTGACGCCCAGCTAAACGCCAAGACGAAACATGTCCTGATACACGGCCGTGGCACAAAAAATGGATACCCACGATAAGAAGGAAAAAAAAAGAAAAAGCATCTGTGAGCGTCTACCCAACGTTGTGATTTGCTTTGTTCTACTGGTTGGTTGTCTTGGCGTATAGACTGTGTACATAGCTAGGCACGAAATACTAGATATTTTTTGATACACAGCCTTAACACCTCAAGCTTTCCGTATCCCTAAAAAGGCCCGAGCACTTTGCCACTCGTTGATCTTAATCTTCGATCCATCAGACGCCAAAATCCGTACAGTATTGGGGCTGGTCTAGAACTCTGGCTCCTTGACCATCTTCTCTACACAACACCAACTGAGCTCTGCCCAAAGGTCCCACCCGCAAAACAACTCGTTTCATCCCAAGTCATGATGCTAAGCAACAACCCACCGTTTCCCGTTCCCATACAGTATCACAACCCAGCCGATCAGAAAAGTGACTTCCGTAAAAAAAAGGTCGTGGCCAAGCTGCGTCTAGAACGCTCTTACGCTTAGAGAGCCAAGCTCGTTAGCCCACTTGCATCTTTATCGACGAGGGAGAAATAAAAAGAAGAAAATGTATTTTTGATACCTCTCTCCACTTGGCCTTCCTAGAAAATGTCATTCTGGCTCCGTCTAGTTGGTTGAGTGCAATGATTGCCACACGGCGGTGCAGTAAGCTTATAAAACTAATCGTATAAACTGCTGTGAGTCAGCAGATTTCATTTTCCCACCGCGAGGACTTATTTCACAGCCGCAAAGAGAGACTCATCATCTGGAAAGGATAACAGCTCGCCTCAACATGGGTATACACTGCTATTGCTGCTATAAAAAACACGGATGACGCCTCTCCCGCGAGGCCGGACAGATGCAACTGACACAAGAGTAGGTCAAAGAGGTTTATATAGAACTATCGTCGAAGCTGACGGAAATTATGAACCAACTGACTGATGTCCCCCGAATGTAATCCCAGATCCCCCAGTTTTTTTGTTCTATATTACACTGGATACTAAGATTAGAAGTAAATGAAAAAAAAAGAGCCCTTTGCTATCATCAATCATCATGCCTCTGATTTGCCTCATGACCTAGCTCCTTGACACCGAGATGGCAAATTGCCAAACAAAGAATAGGGAAGAAGAAGAAAAAAGGAATGGAACCTAAGATCAATGCCAAAGAGGCGGTGGTCGGCGTAGAGAGTCCCCACCACTGCTTGAGGGTCGCAAAGTGTCCGACATACCGGATCCCCTGCGGCCGTACTCGTCCTGGCCCGGAGGCGGAGGCAGCGGTAAGAAGAGTCCGGTACCGTCTCCGACCATGATGCTGCGTCGGACCTCGCCTCGGTTCCACCCCTCTCCGGCCACATCTGCCGCCAGGCCGTAGCTGCTGACCGGACGTCGTAGCGCCTGGCCACCCGTGGTTAATGCGTCAACTTTGCTAAAGTTCCATTTACCGTACTCGTCAGTCTTGGTGTACACCTCGAGGGTGTGGGCTGGCGAGGGAGCAGTGGCTCGCATGTGCGCTGCAAATGGGTTGTTGGAGCTGAACCGATGTGCTGCTGGCGCACGAGGCACGCCTAGCTGCCGGGGAGACTGAGCCTGAGACCTGGGAGAGTTGGGTGAACCAGGCGAGGTCCCAAACGGAGATCCAAAGGTATTGGAGGTAGGCGTAGTTGGCATGCCTGGGTAGGGTATGTGAGAGCTGCGGGTTGAGCCGTGAGATGGGTTTCGCATGTGTCCTCCCGCCGCAAAGCTGGCATTGGGAGGAGGCAGCCCCTGAAGCTGCTCCGGGAAGGACTCATCGTGGACAAAGAGTTTACGCAGTCTAGGCATACCCCCTGAGAGGACGGATGAGGCGAGGTAAGTGTACCAGCTGGCCTTCATGCTTGCATACACCTCCTTATCTGATTCGGTCGAAATCTCAAAGCGCAACGTCTCGAGGCTTTGAGATGCGAGAAATCCGATGCCCGCGTGCTGCGGAAAGCCTTCAATTACCTTGTGCTTCATGGCCAGCGTCTTAAGACATGGCGCCATCGTCAAGATCTCTTGAAGTCTTTGCGGGTGGACGCCAGTGTGGATCAGTGTCAGAACCCTGAGCCCGCGCTGGGTTTCCGGCCAAGCAAGGTACTCGATGAGGCCGGCAGCCGTTACTCGAGGAGTTCCCTCCATGATGAACTCCTCCAACGAGGGCATGATAGGCCCCGATGCGGCCATCAGCACTTCATCGGATATGCTTTCCGTCTCGGTCATCTTCAGGGCCCGGAGGTTTGCCAACGAGTTCAACACCGCTCTCATAGTCATGGTGTCGACACTGATGCCGTTCAGCTCCAGAACCTCGAGTCGAGGCCACACCTGGCCAGTAGCCAGCGCCGCCAAGCTCTTCTCCGAGCCTGCGTTGTACGTCATCTTTCGAAGGTTGGGGCATCTGGCTTGGACTTCGAATCGTAGCGTCGAGCTGCTCGACTCGTCCGAGAACATGCCCTCTGGCAGATCAACATACTTGAGGCTGGGGAGCACGGCAATGGTCTGGGCCAGCTCCACCTGGCAGTACTCGCGCACCTGATATGGCGTCTTCAAAAACTCAACTCTCTTGCCAATGCGTGTCGGGTCTTCGCGAACCGTGCGCCGGAACAGCCTGAGTCTTGCTTGGGCTGGGTCCTCAGGAATGGCGTTGCGGTCAAATCTCGTCTGCTTACGCCTCTCGGCCAGCCAGGCCTCAAGCTTGCAGTAGTGGACCTGGTCGATCCGAACGCTGTGATACCTGAAGGAGGGGAAATTTCAGTTAGGAAACGTGCATGAACGGCGCCATGGTGGGCAATACTCACAATAGCTTGATAGCGGTGTCGTGCCAGGTTCGGTTTACCTGCGAACAGTGGGCTAGGTCGCGCAGGTCACACAGCATGCACCCTTCGCTGTTGCTGCTCTCCTCGCAGGCATCATACGTCTCATCGTTGGCGTGAGGACAGACGAAGGCGAAGATGCGCTCGAGAACCCTTGCTGGAAGAACAGCGACGAGCTGGCTCGATCTCACACTCGGCGGGAAGTAAGGCTGCCGGGTGGCACTAACAGGGCGACGCAATTCTTCGGGAGGGCTCGACAACTCCAGCTTCTTCTTGTCCTTTTTCCTGCTAAAGGGGAACCTCATGGTGATGGCTGTGACGGAACGGCTGTTGCAAACGGAGCTGGGCTAATCCAAACCAGACTAAAGCGGTAAAGGTTGGCGATGTTGAAGACCAAGGAGTCGAGAGAAAACGCGTAGCGAGGGACCGAAGAAGGAGAAAAAAAGGAGCGAAAGGCGTCGGACAAACAAAAATAGGAAGAAACAGAAACCACGAGAAGAGAATATAAGCAAAGCTGACACCGAAATGTCTAGGGAAGCGTGACGAGAAGCGACGTTCTGGACCAATGCTGTTGATTCAAGCTTGTCTCGCGCATCCCTTGCCCACCTTGTGCCCCGCGAACAATCAAACGAGGCTGAAATTGGGGGTCCCTCCACAGCCAGCGAGAGTCAGTGGCTGCGGCGGCGGCGAGGATTGCGATGTCTCTTGCAAACAATGCAAACGAGTCCGTCGTCGTCAAGAGGTATGCCGCTGCTATGGCCGGGCTGGAGAGTTGATGCTGAAGTTGAAAAGAGAGGAGAGAGAAAGGGAGGGAGAGGGAGATGAGGACAGGATTCAGCTGGCCATGTCGTGTATTTGGTCTGCAAGCCACAGCGGCGGCTCTCGTGCTAACCAGACATTAAAAGTTCAGAGCACAGAGCGGAGCTGCACCTCGTACCTGAAGCCACCAGGTCCCCGGGCCAGTGACCCTTGCGTTCCTTGTGCCTGTAGCGCCGGCTAATGAGAGGGACAAGTGACGGGCAACTGACAAGCCTCTGAAGGGGGGACCGTTTTAGCGGCGCGGTGCCCCAGGCCAGTGCCTCTCCTCGTACTGCTCAGGGACCTACGGGACTGCTCAGGCACTGGGCCAGTGCTAGCGCGTCGCTGGCATATGGCGCAAGTCCCGCTCGGAGATTCCAGCGGCCATGGAATTATGCGGGGAAAGATTGGCTCTCAGGGCCCTGTGCCGCTGCGTTGCCTCGCTCCTTGCTAATTTCACATGAATGGCTGGCTGTGAGCGAGGCCTGTGCTGTCATTTTCATCTGCGCTCTGTCGGCTCCAATCAATCAATACTGGCCAATTCCTGCTTGCATTTCCAATCAACCCAATGGCAATCGCACAAGCCCCCCTGCATCTCAACAAGCTTATGTTTACCGTCCATCCATGTGTTTAGCACATCAATCACTACGAACCAGGAACATGAGCTTTATCCCTTGCAAGTGCCCTAAACGGGACACGCATGTCAGCCTTACTTTAGTATTCACACTTCACACTACGAGGATATGCAGGACGTGTACAACACTGACTGCGAATAGCAGCCTGACACGTGCCTGACAAACAACTGGATCCAACACCGTACATAATATTCAGACACCGAAACTGCAGCAAAACCTGTACTCTCCCGTACCGCCCATCTATCGAGCATGCCAGGTGATCAAGTATACATACAAGCAAGTATAGTACAGCAGAAGACAGAATATGATTAACAAACAAGGCCAGGTTGGCATGATTTCCCTGGCCGGTGACACTGCCGTACAAAATGTACGATGCAGCTCCGTATACCCGGGACGTTGTCTCATAACAATAACTGCCCGCCTTGCCCTGCGCCTACCAGAACATTTTCCTCCGTTCCCCCCAATATTAGCCCATATAGCCGTCGTCAGCCTCCTGTCATCATAATCGCAAAGAGACATGTCATCATCGCAGAGCGAGCGATTCATATTGGTTCATTTGCCGGAACAAATGGCCTCATGTCCAAAAACAGAGATTAAAAATTGTAATTGGCCTCGTAATATCAGGCCCTTTTGATTCATAATATGTATAAAAAAGAATGCTCATCACCAAGTAGGCGTCAGAGCTTTTCAGCCATGGATATGTCAGTTAGACATCTCCATGGCACCACGCGTGGGCAGCTTAAGCCTTGCGGGATCTGGCGGTGGCACCGTTGGTCTTAGCACCAGTGGTGGTTCCGTTGGACTTGGCGCCGCTCATGGTAGCGGCCATGTGGACGGGGTCGGGCAGAGGAGCCTGGCTCATGCGGCGAAGGGACTTGCGAGTAGTGGGAGCCTTGCCGTCCTTCTTGTAGGTGGCGAAGTAGAAGGAGATGAAGAGGACCAGGTATGAGCTGAGGATACCAATACCGGCAAAGGCAGCAAACTCCTCACCGGCACACTTGCCAGCGTTGGGCATCCAGTCGAAGTAGGTTGAGGTGAAGTAGGTGTAGGAGGCGAAGTAGACGAAGCCTGTTTGCCAAACGAGTCAGTCAATGGCCAGTAAAAGAGAGCCATAGTTCATGTCATATGATGACTTACCAAGGTCGATGACGAACTGGATGATCTGGAGACGAGTAACCCACTCCTTCCACCAGATTCGGATGCCACGTGCGCTCTGGAAGTAGTACCAGTACATGACAACGTGCACAGTCAGGTTGAGGACAATGGGGACCCAGGAGACGGAAGTCAGGCCAATCAGCTGAGTGTAGCAGAGAAGAGCGGTGGCACCGTGGTGGTAGCAGTGGAGGAAGGTCAATGGCTTCTTCTTGAGGAAAAGGAAGACGGTGTCGAGCAGCTCAAGGTACTTGGTGAGGTAGTTGAGCTAATCGTCACATGTTAGCATTTAGCCATACCGCCACGTTTCGCCCAATTGCGAGAATTTACTTACGTAGTAGAGAACGACCATGGGCTGAGTCCAACCACCGGCATGGTCGCAGATGGCGAAGAAGATGCCCTTGCGGACAACAGTAGGCAGGATCTGCTCAATGAAGAGAGCCAAGAGAAAGGCGCTGATGGCGGTCAAGTAGAAGTTGTGGATGAGGAAGAGAGCCTTGAGCTTGAAGGGCTCGCGGTTGCGCATCAGCTCTCGACCGCCAAAGATGATCAGGTAGTAGATGACAATGAAGATGGAGGTCGACTTGAGCGTAGACATGGGAGTCTCGAAAGGCACAAACTCGAAGTCATTGGCTGAGAAGCCAGTGACGGCCGTGAAGAGCTTATCAAAGATGGGCCATAGATGGACGCCGAAAGGGCGATCGAGCGTGGGGAGCGGTAACTGCTCGTAGAATGTGGCGGGAGCCGAGGCCATGGTGGGCAAGTTGCACAAGCAAAATCCGGGACAAATCTCAGGAGTTTAAATTGATTGACGTCTTGGATGTTGCGCCTGTAGGAAGAAAAAGAAGAAAGGAGAAAAAGACTTGTCTCGAGGACACGCGACGCGACCGAGCGAAACCAACTGTGTTCCCAAAAGAAGCACCAAACAGACTGCAATTGCAATCCACAGAGTGATCGAGGCAAAAAGATTGCGCAACGAAGGAGTGACGAGAAAAGGAGGGGTAAAGGCTTTCGACTCCAACTCCGAGAAGAAGAACAATGACAACGGGGGGAATAGAGGAGAAGAAAAAGGACGGAGCCAGGAGGAGGGCAGAAGAAATACTTAGCCCAACTGCGCGATGCGCGGTACGTATACGCAGTCTTACGGCAGAATCTAAAGGTGGCCTCGACACTAGCACCAGCATAGTTTAAGCCCGCCTGTCCCCTTTTCCAGAGTGGAAATTTGGCTTCTGCAGGCGGTGACGCCAAGTAAACCGCTGGCACATGTGATTGGGCATCGTCGGCGGTCGACAGCCAATCCGAGGTCTGGCAAAGTTTCTCTCATTCTCGCGGCCACGTGACCTCGGCCCAGGCGAGAGCCAGAGAGGTTGTCTGAGGCACAGATCTGGGACTGGATACCACCGTAATTTCGGGGCTGCGCGGACGCCGTGCGAATGCGAAGCAATTAGAGCATACGAGTAATTCAATCATACGAAATATAGCGGGAGACCCAAGGCAAGGCGACAGCTGAGCAAGGCAGCTAGCCGGAACCTGGAGCTTGGGCTCGTGCTCTCTACGCCTCTCTACCTACTTATATACCTTGAAGCAAGAGTCTCGAACCTTGAAACTTTTCCTTTTTCACGGGCACGCTGTTTTTACTTTTATATACTTCGTGGGCGTACGCTATTGGAAGCCGCCTCGAACATGGCTGTTGAAGTGCGGCCGATCTGAAGATTTGAATTACTCGCATCTAAGACAAGCAACGCAGATTCGATGCAAATCGGAGTGCCAGGATCCCCGACGCCTGGAACCGAGGATTGCGTCGCTAAAATCCCTTCCGATCGAACCATGGGCTGCTACCACTAGTGCATCTTACTGCAGTACGGAGTAGTAGGACTGATATAAATAATCGCAGCGTCTCGCAGAAAGATGTATCGATGGTGCGCCATCACGCTGCTGAATGCATGCATGCATGCCAGTAGTATCAAAAATGGCATTCCGGCCAAGCTGCACCCCGAAACGGAGGTTCGGTATCAGCAGCTCAGCTCGACAAATAGAAACTGGCCGAATTGAAAGCCTATTGTAATTGAGGCCGTACGCGACCAGCTCCAATGCACTGTGCCTCACACGCAAATTGCGCCCAGCGACAGCCCCGCCATATTTCCAATTCGCACTGTCGCGTCCCGCTTGGCCGGGTAAATCAGGCAATGCCGTGGCTTAGTCATCCGCCGCCCTCAGGCGATTCTTTGCTCCAAAACACCTCTTGCCATCTCTGGCCCGCCCAAAAGCTCACAACACCAAAACCAGCACCAAACTCAAACTCTCTTTCCCCCTCAAAGGCCCTCTTTGTGCTTTTCTCGCCGAGCTTCTCCTTCAACCATGCAGTCCGCCGCCCTCCTCCGTGCCGCCGCCCGCGGCTCCTCCATGGTCCGCGCCGCCGCCGTCCGTCCCGCGCCTTTCGCTGTTCGCTCGGCCGTTGCCGCTCGCCCTTTCAGCGTCTCTGCCTCCCGACGAGCCGAGCATGCTGAGGAGACCTTTGAAGAGTTCACTGCCAGGTGAGGCTCGCTGCCTTTTTTTTGCTTCGTGGATCCACGGCAGGGGGGGAATTGAGTGGAATGCGCTGCGCTGTTGGAGGGAAATAATCAAGAGAGGGAGAAAAAAAATATGTCGAGAAGTGGGCGGCATAACGGCGAACCGAGAAACTTGTGTGGCCGTCAAAAAGAGCGCTGGCGATCCAATCACCGACCTGCCGTGCATGCCATCGCCGACTGACGTGTCCAATGGCTGACCGAGCTGTGCAAAATTACAGATTCGAGAAGGAGTTTGATGCTGTGCAGGACGTCTTCGAGCTCCAGGTAGTCTCTACGGCTCCAAGTATCGTATGATGTACTAAGGTCATATTTTAGCGCAACCTCAACAACGCCTTCGCCTACGATCTCGTTCCCTCGCCCTCTGTCGTCGCCGCTGCCCTCAAGGCTGCCCGGAGAGTCAACGACTTTGCTACTGCTGTCCGCATTTTCGAAGGTACGCCAAAATGCTGCTCCTCTCTGTCGTCTTAATTGAGTCATCAGCCAAGCCGGGCTTCCCCACCCTCGGGAGGCGCCATGCTTCATAAAAAAGACTATCCATGCTGCATATTATATTATATATTCTTCTACAGCATGCAGCACCCACGCATTGCATACATCATCCCGTCGAGACCAACATGCTGACGCGCATACCGATACACAGGCATCAAGGCTAAGGTCGAGAACAAGAACCAGTACCAGCAGTACCTGGATGAGCTGAAGCCTCTGCGAGAGGAGCTGGGCGTCGCACTGAAGGAGGACCTTTACCCCGAGGAGAAATAAGCTACTGTCCACGAGGAGAAAAATTCCGTTCCGAGTCTTGTACATGGTATTGTGTTGGGAGGGAAGAGGATAGCGAGGGTGCTAGACGGTTGATGGGAAGGGGGCCTCCCAAACCAATGTCTGATAAGTTTGAAGAAGCATATAGTGTATACTGCTCCCTACTGTTGTTGCAACACCTAGCTGCTTCAACGAAATTTTTTAAAAAAAAGAAATTCACAGATTCCCTTGGCTGCATCATATCATTATTATACTATAAAAATTTCACATTCGATAATCCTGACAAACTTCCTCAGTCAAATAGCGTGTGCTATTCAATCTGCATGGCGGCTCCGGTGTGACGATGCCTTGAGCGACCTCCCTTTATGCCTTTTATATAATTATGTATCCATCTTGATCCCTGTAAGGAGACTAAATTGCCTCGAGCCAATTTCCTGTTGAAACTAAAAGAAAGAAAGAGAGAAAGAAAGAACAAAAGAAAAATAACCACCTCAAGTAAGAATATCAAAAAATAAATAAAACAAAATAAGAAAGAAAACGGGGAGACCCTAACACCTCCCTACTCCAACCAAGCATAAAAAAAAGCCGACGTATAACTAAGACAAGCGTTCGCCTCTCACCCTGAACCTCGATTTGAATCCCCGCTTCTCAGAAGAAGAAGAAAATGAAAGGTAAAAGAGACCCTATCTTAAATGATCGTATCTGCTGTTTCTTGGCTGCTGTCCGTAGAGCTGCATCCCTTCAATGCCAGCTCCCAGAGCTGGGCTGGCCCCTCTACTACCTGGACCTCCATATGTTCGAGTAAGCGGGCTGCGCATTCCCATGCGTGGACTCCGTGGTACACTAGACTGTCGGGTCTCCCGCCGGCCGTTCTTGAGCTGCCGAAGCTCTTCATTGGCAAGGTCCAGCTCTCTCTCTCGGTGTTGTAACTGAAACTTGAGATCTGCAATCTGCGCAATGTATAAATTTACAGTTTCTCGCTCCTGGATCTCATGAATCTTGACCGAGTTTTCAGATGCCTTCTTAGCAAGGTCCTCGTTTTGGCTTCTCAGTTGGTTGTTTTCTGATTTCAACCCAGACGCAGTCGAGGCAGCGTCTTGGTACAAATTCCGGATGTAGTCTGCGTCCTTGTGGGCATTCTCCAGCCGCTTCTCGAGAACAGAAACCTTGGCTTGTGCGTCATGTAAGAGCTTCTCGGTTTTTGCCAGGGGTGTATCTTGTGGATCAGAAGCATTGGGATCTTCCGTCAGTCGCGCCACAGTAGCTTCTAACTCCGTAATAATCTTCTTTGCCTTTTCAGCTTCTTTTTCTGATTGAGCTGCAGCAGACTGCATAGCTGCCTCCATTTTGTTCCTTTCGGTTTCGAACCGAGAACGGTCTTGCAGCGCAACACGCTGGGCCTCATACACTCTGTGAGTTGTTCTCTCGTATTCCTTGACCCGCTTCTCAAGGCTTGAAATCACTTCTCGATATTCCTGGTCGCAATCAGTAGCTTCCAAGTTACGCTCATACTCGGCGAACTTTGCAACGTTAGCTAGATATCGACACAGAACCAGATTGGTATGGAAGAGTACCTTTTCAGCCATCTTCTGCAGAGATGCATGGGAAACGTTGATTAATACTTGCGGTCGAGAAGAATCCCTAGCTGCAGTAGCATATTGAGCCAACATAGCCCTCACTTCGTCGGATACTGGAGCCTGGCCTGTCCCAATTGCCGCTGTCGCCTCACTCGTAGAAAGCACCCGTGGTCTTTTGCTCTCAAAATTATCTGATTCGTTCTATAAACAGATTATGCAATGTCAGTTACTCAGACTGAGAACGCAGTTGCCACAGCCTCCGAAGGCCACTTACATGTTTGCGCTTGCGGCCACTTTCCTGTTCTTGATGGGTGATTACCGGCATCTGTGATCGCGATTGGGAATGGACATAGACGTCAAGAATAGTTTCTGGTACAGGGATGGCATCCCACAGAGGCGTGTCTTGATCGCTTGCCAGGAATTCTATGAATAGGGCGGCAATCTCGTGTGGCTCTTGGTAGCCACGCTCGGGACTGGCCACCAGATTCCGAGCGCGCACAATTCCAGATACCAGGACGCTCTTTCGTTCTATTAGAGTCAAGTCATCTGGTATCTGAAGATCAATATGTTCAATGGAATGAGTTGTCACTAGAACCAAGACGAGTTGCCGCCTGTTGTCGCCAGAGCTTGTTAGCCCTTGTGCGATGGCCGAGTTTCTAAAAGAATGATCATATCCAATCACGACGTCGAATTCCCGAGAGTCAACAACTTCGGTCGGCAGTGCAAGAACCAGTTTAGAGTTGGAATCGCTGGGAGAGAAATCCGATTTACCAATAGCATCGCAACTGAATTGCATTCTGAGAGCTTCTGCTAAATGGCAAAGAAGCCGGAGGAGATCTGGTGAGCGAGCGACGATCAAAACCTTTGAATGATGCTCAATGCCGCTCAAAAGTTCAAATATGAAGTTGAATTTTGGGTTAGCATCGCAGCAATATTTGGCTAGCTCTGCTGGAGGTAGCGTTTCAAGGTCGCTTCCCACCACATCTTCGGGATAATCACATATGTTCAACAAAATATTGAAGAGCTCGTCGATGCGGTTTACTAGGAGCTGATCTGGCTCTGAGTAGTCCTCGTCGCTGAAAGACCTATTAAACTCCTTGATCGAAGCCTTGAATTCGACTATGATGTCGTTGTACTTCTGACGCAAGCTTGCCTGAAAAGGGAGTGTCACGATATGCTCCACGACTCCTGACGGGGCGAAAGATGCCGATGATTCGGCGGGGCTATGCTCGCGTTGAACCTGCTCCAAATGAGCAGTATCGGTTGAAGGTCCTTGCATCATAGTTTCATCCGGGTTAATAAAGGATACCAGAGGGATATCTTTGTAGGCTGGCTCTGGTTGGCGACTGATGTCAGCAAGGGAGACTGTAGATTGCTGTGCCTGTATAAATTCAGAGGCAGTCACAGGTTGTTGCTCCAACTCTGCTCCAGTAAAGGCTGGGCCAAATATGTCTGCCAATACTGCTGCAACGGGTTTCTGTGGAGTTGAGACTTGTGGTCCAACTGTTGAGGTTGTTGTATCCCCCTCATCTTGTGTCCTCTCAGCTGCTCCAGCGGCTGTTATATGTTCGGAAGATTCTCCCTCTTTGCTCTCAGTTGATTTGGCGCCGTGGGGTAAATCAGTTGAATGCATAGGTAACTCGGTGTACGCATTGGGTACGCCTCTCTCTACCGGCGCTCCATGCTCAGCAGGTTCTCCGGCCAAAGCCTGATCGAGTGGCATCTGATGGGGTGCTGATGGATGCGACGTAGAATCAGCTTCGCCGTCAAATTCGTGTAAGCTGAATATTTCCGACAGCTCTGCATCCAGCGTCCGATGACGCCTCTCAGCGGCTTGCTCTGGGGTCTCGTTTTCCATCCTCTGGCCTATGATGACTTCTAGATGGCCTTCCACGACGATCAGGACTGGTTGTTGTGATGGGAGATTGGTAACCTCTTGTGGACGAGGTGAGACGGAGATATGAGTTTGATCGTTCTCACCAACGTGTTGACGATGATTTGCGTCGGACTCAGACTGGCTTTCTTGGGATTTACTTTCCGTAAGTTGATGGGACGGTGCGCCGAAAACGCGAGGAACTATTTGGGCAGCTTGAGAACCCCCTGGGTCTGACGCAGATAGAGTGCTAGAGCGGATTGTAGAGACGATCTCCGCAGCAGGACGAGCGGGTGATTCGAGGATTCGACTGGGCACAGAACTCTCTGGGCACTCCAACACGAGTGAAAAATACGGTTGAGTAAGAAACCTCGGGCTTGCGTCTGATTGTGTATGTATTGACACTGCTGCCTCTGATGATACCGGAGGCTGTGGAGCACGGCGATCTGGTGTATTGTGTGATAACGACTCAGACAGAACAGGGCTAGCGGCTCCCGCGGCCGCCGTTAATTGGTCGGGCTGATGAGAAGGAATGTCTGAACTGACAGTCTCATGGGACTCTTGAATGTAGTCCTCAGATGATGCGTGAGCGAGGCTATGATTAAATAGAGAGGAGTTTTGTCGTCTCTCAATTGCCTTATCAGATTCCTCTGATGTTGGTTTTGAAGGTGCCTCAAAAGAGTCTGGAATGACGTGAGAACTGGACTCGGGTATGCTCTCTTGAAGTTGAGACTCAATCAACCGGTCAGGTGGCTGTGATGATTCGGTTGAAATATGATGCTGTGTCCAGGATCGATCCGTTACGTCCTGCGAGTCTGGAACAGTTCCTTGGGAGTTTCGCACAATGGCAACGCGGCTGTCTTCGTTTTCGAGCTCGGCCAGCGACTGTGTAGACTTGCCGCTTGATTGAGAGCCGAGGACACTTAAGTAATCAGCCGGGTTAAGATTTGAGTTCTTGGGGATCTCCACCACCAGAGACGTAGCTCGTGAACGATATTCTGAGAGATCTACGTCGGACACCTCTGGGAGTTCGGATGGCGTAGAGATTGAAGGTGATGACACGAGAGATGCTGGAGGCTCGTCATAAACAGACCCGCAGGTGTCACTTCTGGGGACTTTACGGGGTGGAATAGAGGATGAGGTGGAAGATGATGAAATCAAGGAGGCTGAGCGTCGCCGCTTCTGTGCGCCGGCTTTGTCGATGCGCCGCTGATGAGCAGGCCGTGGCGGATGGCTCGTGTCGCTCTCTTGGTCTGATGTGGGCTCCGGCTGTGCTTCCGGTTCCTGGTCGTTTGGCTGCCTTGGCTGCTGCTGATCTTGCAGATGCTGCGCCGGGCCTAACTCCGGGTCCGGCCCTGGTTTCGACTCAAATTGATGTTCAAGCTGCTGTTCGAGCTGCTGCTCAAGCTGCTGCTCGAGCTCAAGGTCCTCTCCGAGACGCCGAGCCTTGGTCTTTTCCCATTCCACTCTGGCAAAATTTGTAACTTCAGAGCTCTGCGACGCATGCGAATTAGCAAAAAGTTCTATATAGGGCATGTAAGTGGTGAGCATCATGTTGGACAAACCCAAGTCGGATCATACGCTTGGCCGGTGACGATATTATCGTCCCAGTCAACGAGGTATTCGACGCGACCTCTTGTGGTCCTCTCATCAAGAATGCGCCTGATGGTGTACCAGCCTTCGTCTTGAGCGGCGGGCCTTTTGCGAGTTTTGGACTTCTTTGAGGATCCTTTACGTGACTTCGGCATTGGCCTGAATGAGATGAAACAGCGGATAGAGGGTGTCTCTGCCTTTGAAGCTGGAGAGAGCGAAACAGCTTCTCGGCACTGAAGCTGCTGCTGTAAGCCGGGCGGCCTGAGCCAAACGTCTGGCGGGCACCGCGCTCGACGCTTGCAGAGGATGTAAGTCGAGCTCACGCAGCAATTGGAGAGGCGAGGCTGAGGTGCGCCAGCGGCCCACCAACGACGATTTCAGAAGGTCGGACAGGGCGATGCGACAGGAGTCTTGCAAGGGATCTGGTTGGCTAATCACGTGGAGGCGCCAACCTCTAAATTCCTGGGCAGCGAAATCCGTTGGCGGGGCGAGGCAAGGCGAAACTGCAGAGGCGCACGCTGACAGGGGACAGTGTGAGACGGCTGAGGCTGGCTTTTGGCGATGCGATGGCAAGGCTGGCGCTCGAATTTATTTGTATCGTCTCGCGGTTGAATGAAACGGCGCGGATGGAGATGGTAACAGTTCTGTGCAAGATGCGAATGATAAATAGCAGAGGTAAGATGAATGAAAATACTAGAGCTGTTGCAAGAGAGCGGCGGAGCCTAGAGTGCGTTTGACAGAAGGTAAAAGGCCAAGGTTAATGGTGAAGGTTGAAGGTTGAAAGGTTGGAAAAGAGAGAATCTCGCTTGGGCCTCAATACATCTATCCTTGCCGTCACCCGGCCCCTCCCTTATGTACCCTAGGTAGTGCCAGCACAAACACTTTTTTTCCCTTTGACAGGAGAGAATAGGGTGCGTGCGTATACGAATGTGTGCACCGCGCTGGACAAACAAAGGAAAAGTCATTTCCTCCTCACCTTTGTCCGGCATGCGCATCGGATTTCCGTGGCTGCGGATTCACTTGATACCTGCTGTGATTCAGATCTGAAAAGATGTGCGGCATCGTCTCATATGATGTCAGTGACGGTGACGAGGAGCATGATTTGGGCATGCTGTGGCATCAATGGGCAGTAGTGCCGTGGGAAGTTGTCAAATGATATCCAATTGATTTATCAATTGCAGAGTAAAAATGGCAATTGGACGGTCAAAAGAGCCAGATCTCGAGCCACGTACCTCGTGGCACAAAAAGATCAATTGATTTGACGATGGCTCAGGTACAAAGTCCTACATGTATCTACCCATCAAAGTCTGAACGTCGAACGGCACTATTCCATTCCCCTACTGTCTCCCAGAGTAGATGAAGAAGTCAATGATCAATACCATGAGACATCATCTCCAATATGAAATACTAATCGACAGAACATCAAGATGGTTATGCAAACCTTCTCAACGGCTCATGTGCAAACGGCGCCATCATAGAGCACTTGGCTCCGAGATTCGCCGCTTATATGCAACAGCCCTGGTCAGAGAATGTAATCAGCCTCGCGATTCAATCAATTCAACGCTTTTAGTTCGACAACGAGCTGCGGTGGCGTCTTGGATGCATTTCCGATCTGCTTGGCTGCATAAAAGCTGCACGACTTGCCGTCTCCGGCATCTTGACCTGTCAGGCTGCATATTTGTAGTGCTACCTCGGGTGACTCGCTGTGGCACCTAATGCGCGAAGTACCCCTAACCTACAGGTACCTGGACCCCCGAGCCCCTACCATTTCAGCAGACCCCAGCCTGCAAACGCGCTAGAAGCACACCTGGATCTCGCAAGCGCCTTCGATCTCACCTTGTTCTCACCTCTCACATCAATGCCATCTCGAGTCAGCTGCTGCTTTGTCTAATCCATCCATCACCCATGCAGTGACTTTCAGCTGGATGAGGTGAATAGGATATATGGCGACGCGTGATACGTGTCGCGTCTCCAGATCCCAACATGTCCAACTTCTCCATACAGCCGTTAGGGCGGTTTGTGGGAGCCAGCCAACCTGTTAAGAGACCAAAGGTATGGAAGGCCAGAAAAGCTGCGCTGTGCCGAAACACGACGTAATCAATCCATTGGCAGCCGTCGACCAAAGCTTACATAGCCCTCGAATAGGAATTCTCTTGCTTTTCCTATGACGAAAGCCATGGATTTCACCCTGATGATTCGTCGTTGAAATACTATTATCCTCCACAGCTTGGGGTAGATTTGTCCTTAGGATTCAACACGTTTGTGAAACACGATGATTCCAAGGATGAGCACCTCGACAGCTTACTAAAGGCCATTGTGTTACACGAGAAGGAAACGGGAGCCAAGATTGATGCGAATATAGTGACATGGAGAGGCATGATGACGAAGGTATATATGGCTTCTTTCATAAACTCAGCTGTCAATTGCCATCGTCAAAGCAGCAGCAGCAACATTTAGAACTAACGACAGTGTAGATATTGGCTGCGCCGTTTGAGCAATATGACGGGTACAGCCCCCTTCCATCTTATCCTCTTCATTCTCAGACTTTTATCTAAATAACTAATCACCTGATATATACAGCTTCGAAATGAATGCCACATTATACCAGGTATATCCATTCACATTTCCTTGGCCCGGCTCGCATCTCTAACACAATCAATCTCTAGGGAACCATGTACGCGATATACACCATATGTCTAACATGCCAGCTCCTAATATTTATGACAGTTTTATCGAAGACAATCACGCGCAGAAGATGCTTTCGAGACAAAACGAAGATCGTGGGAAACCTAGAAGGGGACCCCCTCTTGATGTCATGCAGTTCTGGGGTTAATATCATCGCTATGCCCTGTATCATCTCCCGCTGACCAATGAAAGGGTATAAATTTGAGACGCTGTCAACACTTCCTGCTCCTTGGGCAGAGACCTCCAGAGACTTCATCGAAGGCAGGGAGAAACAAGTCGTTAATAACAACGAGCAATACTGCTCTATTGTACGGACAGGCATCGGCAAGGCTGTTCTCTGTTTGGGAGGGGAAGTCGATGCAAGTAAGATTTTTTTGACATCCTATTGTCATGGCGGCTGATTCTAACCGACCGCCCAATAGTATGGGACAGCAAGCCCCAAGAGAAAGGAAAGCCGATCAACTGGGTTGAGCTCAAGACAACCGCCGAGCTCCGCCACGGTGGCGACATTGAGAATTTCCACCGCAAGCTCATGAAGTATTGGATCCAGTCATTTCTCCTCGGCGTCCCAAAGATCATAGTTGGCTTCCGCACGCGGGACGGCATCCTCGTCGACATCAAGGAGATTGAGACACAGCAGATCCCGCAGACGGTAAACGCGCGTCCGAACCCGGCATGGAACGCAGATATATGTGTGAATTTTGCGGGCGCTTTCCTGGAGTGTATGTCCTTTTATCTTCCATCTCTCTCTGCTCTCTGCTCTCTTTCTCTTATACTAATTTATAACTAGGGCTCATGCAAGTCATCAACGACGAAGGAGTATGGAGAATATCTCGGCGGGCCCACTCGCCCGTCATTGAAGTCTACAAGGCGGAAGAAACAGGGCATGGGGACATCCTCACAGACGAATTTAAAGACTGGAGAATTAAGTTGGACCTCGGACCAAGTGAGCCTTGAAAATTACGGGTGCAATGTTGAATGAAGATTCCCTTACGCTGAGGGGCGTACGACTGTCTCTAAGAAAGATACCGACGGATATTGCAGCATTTTGGAGACTCAAAATTACTTCCAAATTGATTTAGTCGTGAGATATCCATCTTTAAAGATGGTTTACATGCTTGCATACATACATACGTACATTCCAAATGGCAAAATCAAATTCAATCAGCTTGTTAGACGCCTGTTCCCCAAATCCCGAGAAAAAGAACAAAAAGTAGCAGAAAGAGAAGAAGAAGAAGAAGAATAGGAGGGAAAAAAAAGTAAAAAGGGGGATAAAAGAATAGAACAAAAAAAGAGACAGCACCCAATATGGGCAGAAAAAGACCATCTCCAAATCCCAATATACGTCCTCCAAAGCCAGCCACCAATCTCAGGTCAAAATCTTTTCAAGTAGACACAGATCCTAAACGCCTCGCCCCTCCAGTGGTCGCTCCTCATCTGGAGGCTAGACTCGATATGCAAATTCATTATATCGCGCGTGAAATTATATCAAGCTTCGACAACCCTCCCCGTGAGGAACCCAGCATTATTACTTCATCCGTTAAGTTCGTTTCAAATCGCATGGTCAGGTAGATGCAAACACTTTGGCACGTCCCGATTGTGACATCATATAGCCGGCCATCGGATCCGCAGACCATCAGCCCATCGGTTATAGAGCACGTCGGACAACTGCTTGCAGTGCTCCATGCCTGATTGAGTTTCCCGCCCAGGATACTTTTCCTCAATACCTAGTTTGTCTTGGTCTCTTAGGCTCTCCTTTGATACCGGCGACTCGAGTTGTCGCCGGCGATGGCTTCTGAAATTAGGGTTTGTGGAGCTCAGTGCCAACTTGGCAGGGCTCGGTGACGGAGTTGAGCTCTTAACGACCACAGTCCCCTGAGGAGTGCCGTCATCTGGGACCTTTTGTACTGACTGACGTAGTACCGCGCCATTCAGTTTGTTATCCTGGCTCATGGCAGTAACTAGGTTGTTCATAAGATGGTATGTTCCCTCGGGATCAACCGCATCCAATGCTGCAAAGGCTTCGGATAACTTGGCCAGAGCCTCCCGCTTTTGCATGGTAGAGGTCTGTGCATGAAGCTCTGCAAGCGTGGGCTCTACCGCCTTAGAGTATAGCCTTCGCCCCAAGAGAGCCTCTTTGCCATGGGGCTCGACCGGCGCAGCCACTGGCGGGGGGACATTCTCGTCGACAAAAACGTCATCATCTGGGGTTGTAGATCTGACCACTTGCATACCAGCCGATCCATCTGATGGAACTCTTCGAAACAGACGCATAGTCGACCCCGAATTACCAAAAGACATGTCGGGTTGAAGTGGTCTTTTAGGAGCTATGATTGAGCCTCGGGGAGAGCCGTTAGCGTACGACGAGGGTACTTGCATGATGGAAGGTGTGCGCCGGACTGTTGACTTCCGGATAGTGCTAACAGCTGGTGATGAAGGTGACGAAGATCCCAGAGGACCTTCATTGATGTCCAACCTGCGAAATCCGTCCTCTGTAGCTGACAACACGGATGATGATTTGCGATGATGCTTGACGGTTGGTCGCTTCGGCGGAGCTACCGATTTCACGGTGTCAAACACCCAGGCTTCGTTGTCGTTGCTTTTATTTGAGATTGTTTGCAACGTTTCCTGATAATATATCGGATGTTTTTGACGATTTTGGTTCGCGTCCCACATTTGCCTTTGCATGATTAGCTCCTGCAGAGCTTCAATTTTGCCAGCCGAGCGAATGAATCTGTGACGAAGCAGCTCCTTGGCGCTGGGTCGACGGCCGCACTCTTTTGTGAGGCACTGGGCCACGAAATCTCTGAATTCCTTACTAAAGTGACTTTCCAGCCGCGGCGGTGGGTTTTTGGGGATCTGGAAGAGCACTTTCATCGGGTGAATGTGACAAAGAGGGGGCTCTCCATTGGCCATCTCCATTGCAGTAATGCCCAAGGACCAGATATCGGCCTTGAAGCTGTAGCCGTCTTGCTGGATTACTTCAGGAGCCATCCAGAACGGCGTGCCAACAAATGTGTTGCGTTGAGACTTGATGTTGGTGAGCTGAGCAGCGACACCAAAATCAGCCAACTTCACCTTGCCAGCATCTGACAGCAAGACGTTTGCCGCCTTGATATCACGGTGGATCTTTCCCTCGCTATGCAGATATTGGATTCCATAGAGAAGTTCACGGCAGATGATGGCGATGTGCGCCTCAGTGAAGTTTCCTGGTTTCAACTGGAGACGACGGCATATTAGAAATGAGGTCAAGACGAGACGATGAACAGGACCATCGACTCACCAAATCCAGACAGGATCCACCGCCCAAGTATTCCATGATAATCCATAGCTTGTGGCCTCGCAGGAACGAACCTTTATACTGGGTCACGTATGGACTGGCACAGGTGCTGAGAACAGCAATCTCGGCTTGAATGTCTTGAATATCATCATCGCTGGACTCAAGATCAATCTGCGAAACACAGTTGCGTTAGTTCACTGGCCCTGGCCTGATTGCGAGAAGAAGTCATGAATTGGCAAAACCAGGGCCGGTCTCACATGTTTAATGGCCACAGTCTCTCCGGTGATCTTATCGATTCCCTTGTAAACAACGCCGAAACTTCCGCCTGGATAACTGAGTTAGCATTGCGAACAAGCAAAGGGTCAACTAGATTGGGCTCACGGCCTAGCTCCTCCAGCACCTGGTAGTCGGAGGCAAGAGTCTCGTCATCAGCCATCTCGGCGTGGGTCAAGCGATATTGCCCTTCCCTGTTGTACTCGTACTCTCCCAGACGCCGGCGCAATTAAACAGGGCGAGGCAAGCCAATATGCGCAAGGGCCGCGCAGCTGGGAGGTTGAAATTGGCTTCTGTCGGGATTAAGCAGCGAACAGTGGAACTTGCGGCAGACGTCGAGCCGATGGAAGCCAAGAGCGATCGGATCACGAAGCGTCGACTGTAACCGTAACCGTAACCGTAGCCGTAGGAGCCCTAGTTTAATATACAGACGGCAAATAACAGCCAGCGTTCTAGCTGCTTCGCGGCCAAGGTTAAGGTAAAGATGAACAAATGGACGGTTGTCCGGGGCAGTGGAGCCGCAGGCAGCTAGGGGTAGCTTTTGTTTACAATGGACCGCTTTGGGATAGCTGTTCGGCTGGCGGGGGCCATTCTTTTGGTTTTAGGCCTGAGGGCCGCTAATGGGGGCCTATGAGAAACTAAGTTGCAGGTTTAATGGATCAAAGTTATGCTACATTATGGATTGATAATTTCAAATTCAACGGTATTATGATTGCGATTTGCAGCGCGATAAACACCAACATATGCATGCGCGGCTGAGGAGCTGAAGAGGGATCAACAAACATGCAGCGTGTTGCTCACGCCAATGCACGAAAGCAGTGCATTCTGCCAGCTTTGCTGCACGGCAACCCATAGTGCATATTCGGGGTGTGCGGGCGAGAATTGACGGGATGTGTGTGCCTATCAGGATTACTACATGTACCTATGTGTGAGTACTTCCATAGGTACAATCCGTTCCGGCACTTTGCCCACAGAGGGTCTGGTGCTGTGCTCAGCTGTACAGGTATCATTGCAATTATGTGGTCCTCGGCGCCTTAGTGCATTGAGTACTACTGTAGTGCACCGCAGTCCACCGCCAGGCTCTCACGTAGCGCCCAGTAGTCGCCATCTCCATATTTGACGTAATCCATCAAATTTCATCAGTGTCTCTCCGTTGGCCGCCATTCTTGCAGTCCCTGTGTCAGAACCATCAAACTAACACCAAAGGGAGGCTCTGCTGCAGCGGTCGCCATGGAACCAAGCCCCGATCCCCCAGCCACCCAAAGATCTGGCTCGCCATTCGCAGGCTCGTCTTACAGTTGATCACAGGCGTTGTTAGCGCCATGCGCCGTGCGATGGCGCTAACACGAGGGGCCGCGCTCCCTTCCGCCAGCCACCTGCAAATCGATCACCACGGCAACGCCATCTGCCCCTCTGTTGTCCCGGCCCTGCAAGGCGTCGCCGGCAGCTTTTCGTCGGCCAGTCCCGTAGTAGCTCCAGCACGGGGACAACGCTGAGAAGCGGACCTCGAGCTGCGTCCATGCCTTGCTGCAATCTCGCTTGATGCAGCCCAATCCACGACCTGCGGCTACGAGTCCAGACGTCAAATTGCAGCGCTGCTGCCATTACTCGCCAACTACATGTGCAGGCACAGGCACAGTCCCTTGTCGAAATCTCCTCAGTACTTGGCACACACCGGCCCTTGCACCCAATTCTCGGTACCCGATACCTGCAGTTTGCATTCAATTGCACAAGCTGCCTGCCATTTGCCTGTGCTCGGCCTGCATTAGCATTAGCAGCTGCTGGGGCTTTGTGCTGCATCTGGGGCTGGGAGAGACAAAGAGAATTCCAATCCGCCCCCGTCTGCCATCAACAAGAGCCCAGGGTATCATGCTTTTTGCTGTCGCCGTTGGATCGCAGCTTTGGGACATGTGCCATCTCTCAATTCTGGGCTTTTTCTAATCGACCACCAGCCGCGCCTTTCGACTGCGCGTTGTCGGGCTGATATTTCGACGGCCAGCCTGAATTCGTTCGGTGAAGCGGCGAGGTGCCGAACGCGTCTATTCCATCAGCTGCACACACCTGTCGCCCGATATTTGCTGCCAGACAAGGGATAAACAACAACGGGGATAATTTTTTTTTTCTTTCCCTTTTCCCTTTTCCCTCTCTCTCTTCCTCCCCCTTCTCCTTCTTCCTCCGACCGCTTGTTTTCCCACAAACTTCAGTGCTGGTCAATTCGGCGACTGAGGCGTGGCGCAACTGTCAACATTATGGCGCTATCACCGCCGCCGCTGCCTTCGCGATTTCCGTGCTGGTGTCGAGCCATCTACTCTTGGGGAGGCGAGGTTTGTGATATGACGGCACGTGTTGGCTTGCTCTCAATTGCTAACATTTCTGCAGTCGAAACGCGACCTGGGATTTATCGAGGGCGACTTGATCGAATGTCTGAATGCTGGAGACGGTTCGTGGTGGGTGGGCAGGCTATTTCGAGATCGGAGGACGGTTGGGTCATTCCCGTCCAATTTCGTCGAGGTACTACCAGAAGACTTTCGGCCAACAAAAACACCGAGTCCTATACCGCCGAATATAGCGTCAGGGCCCAAGGCGGTGCCGCAGAAATCACGAACGTTCCGGAAACCGTTCGAGGCCTATGCCAAAGCACCGCATTATACCACAGCAAAACAACCAGAAACATTTCGAGAAACACCGACGTCGCGTCTGAAAGAGAAGCCGTCTCGGGTGTCAACTACGACATCGCGATCAAGGGGAAATTCGGCCGCCAACTCCAGCACTGCTCTCGTCCTTGCAAGAACTGCTCATGAGGACATCTCTCGCGCTCCCTCACCCTCAATCTCTCCAGCAAATGGCTATGGATCCAGAGCTCCATCACCAGCTCCGTCCATGGGCCGTTCACCAAGCCGCCCACCAAGCCGGTTGGAGAATATGACGAGGAGCGATTCTCCACCGCCTCCGGCACCGCCACCTCATAGACATGTTGCGCGGACGGATTCCGACGAAGCAACGCAGGGCTATCAATCAATGGCGAGGCACGGGTCCACGGTATCGTACAACCCATCCAGCCTATCAAGACAAGGCTCTACCGTTTCATACAACCCCGCGGAAATAACACGAACGGGTTCTACCGTTTCATACAATCCGGCAGATATAACGCGAACGGGCTCCACGGTTTCATACAACCCAGCAGATATAACAAGGACGGGCTCTACCGTTTCGTACAACCCCATGGATGTTATGCGTTCTACCGTTTCGTACAATGGACCAGAGATCCCAAGGCACGGCTCTGCCATGTCGTATGAGCCATACAGTCCAGCTCGTCATTCCAACGGCTCGTACACAGATCTTCAGGATCTCACAAGGCGGGAGTCCTACAATTCCTACGACGATGGCAGCTACGGGAGCCGGCGCGACGGATACCACACACCCAAGGGTAGCGGTTCCCATCGACCATCAATGGAGGGGAGCCACATGACGCCGTCACCGTTACGCGAAGCGATGGATGACGTGATGCAGCAGTTGGATCGCTTGGAAGGCATAGGAGGTCGTGAGACGGAGTCGCCAGAGAGATCGTTTGATCCTTGGTCCCCTGATTCTTTCGACATGGTAGCACCGCAACAAAGGCAAAAGGCACGAGAGCGCATTAGGCCGCTGACCTCGATAGGAATAGCTTTTGACGAGGGATACGAGACTTGGAGTGGAAATTCTTCGCACAATGCCTCACAACAGGATGGACATCGCGGGAAAAATTACGAGCCCCATCTCAGCAATTACGTGGAGAGGATGGAGAAGCAGATCCAAAGAATGCACCAACACAGCTCGAGCATGCCAGCCGTGGTGAATCATGATGACGATGACGATGACGATAAACCCCCACCCCCACCGCCAAAGGGGCATCATTACTTGCGCTCAAAGTCTTCCATAGGGTCAACAGTAGGAGAGTTGGTTTCTTTGGACAAAAGAGCACGGGGACGAAAATCGCCATACGATATGGTGTCTGGCATCGAGCGCACCAATACAACGAAAACGACCCAGACAAATGCGTCAACCGGCAATCAGAGTAACAGTAGCTCTTCGACCCAGAATACCAATAGGACCGTTTGGAGTGGCGTCTCTGCCGGTGGTTTTAGTGCGACAAGCGCCGGAAGCTTGGCTCGGACCGCCCACCGTGCTCAGAGTTCGTTTAGCATGCGCAACGATGAAGGGGACCGGCCTGACTCGCCATTTACAGGCGTGACTTACCATAGCAGTCATGCTAGCAACTATGCTGGAGGTGGGAGCGGAAGTGGGTTTTCTCGGCCGATATCTCAAGTTGGCATTCATGATGAAGGTACCCCTGGATTGGGTGGACTTGTTCAGCCCAAGTCTCCGAAACGAAATATCTTCAAGAAAATCCTTGACTCGGCCAAAACGGGCGTCGCTAGCAATCGGGGTAGCATCGCTGCCGGCCATGTACCTACCGTGAGATCCTCGCCCTTTGCTCGCCTGCAGCAGCCGCATGGTATGGCACCCGGAGCAAGCATGCTCTCATTGAGCGGCGCTCGTTCTAGGCGTGATGCCGCCAGGGAGATGGGCCTTGGCGCTGCCATTGACTGGGTTCAAGTCCGGCGGGATGTCAACCGCTCCAATTCCATCAGCAAGATCGAGCGGACCGAGCGCAGGGAGCGCTGCCAGATGCAGGACCACCCCACCCTCAATCCTGTCGATGAGCTCTATGAGGGGATCGAAGGTGACGAGGGAGCAGACGGCATGCCGGTTCATAAACCAGAGAATTACCACATGATCAACCTCAGCCAGGTGGACAAAAACTCACGGTTCGTAAAGGAGCCACCTCCGGGTACGACGGTGGCGACGCTTGCGCAGACGTACATCTGCAGGCCGTACAGGAGCGATTTGCAGCGGCTGCGTGCTATATTTACCTGGGTTGCCGAGAAGATTACCTGGGAGGAAGATTTCGAGGGCGACGCGGATACTGAGCGAACTATCCTCCAAAAGAGGGGTTGCGCAGAAGAATATGCCTTCCTTGTGATGGAAATGTGCTCCGCTGTTGGGCTGCACTGCGAGGTCGTAAGGGGTTACTTGAAAGCCCCAGGCGACATTCCAGACCTCAACGTGATGCCCAGATCCAATCACTGGTGGAACGCAGTCCTTGTTGACGACGAGTGGCGCATGATAGATGCCTGCCTAGCAAGCCCGTCGAATCCCAAGCGTGCGCTCTACTCCAGTGCCTCCTCGTCGTCGGCAGACTTTTGGTGGTTCCTCACACGGCCGACTGAGATTTGCTGGACGCACGTGCCGGAACATCACGACCAGCAGCATATCGTGCCCCCAGTGGCCTATGACACGCTACTAAACCTGCCATGCACATGCCCGGCGTATTTCAAGAACGGTATCGAACTGGTTGACTTTAACACCAGCCTAACCAGGATAGAAGATCTTGAGATGGTCCACATCACGTTCAACGTGCCGAGCGATGTTGAGATCGCAGCCGAAGTTGAAGCACGAGCATTGTCAAGGGATCACGATGGCGATTTGTTTGAGAGTGGCGACATCGTGAAGAAGAAAGCGCTGGCGCAGGCTGAGTGGTTCAATGGTGTGAAACGCTACACAGTCAAGGCGCTACTCCCCGGCGACGAAGGCCAGGGCATGCTGAAAGTTTATGCCGGGAAAAGGGGCTTGATGCAAAGTATCAAGGATATTCCCCATCCTTTGGCCTTTACTCTACCTATTATCCACCAGGGCGAGAATCCGCCTTATGAATTTGTTACGCGACATCCGACTCCTCACGCACAGAGGCATGATATTTATGTTGTCCAACCTCAGTGTCAGCAACTGGCTCTGAACAATACCTTTGTCTTTGCCATCAGGCAGCACCCCAGCTCCATTTCGGGCGGGCCGCAGTCGACCCTCACACCGGCATCGAATCCTGGGTCGACAAGCCCAGTTCCCTTCATTCGGCCATCATCGGCGATGAGCATCAACGCCTCTAGTGCGAGCGGGTCGAATCCCAGCTCAGCCAGCGGGACCGTTGCGGGAAAGAAGCCCGCCAAACTGGCAATCCAGACACCAGGAGGCAAAATTCTTCGTCTTATGAGAAAGGAGGACCGTAAGGGGATCAGCGTTGGATCGAGGACTCCAGACGAAGAAGTTAGCGACGGCGGCACTTGGGAGACAATCATCAAGTGCTCCGAGAAGGGCCTTTGGAGAGGCCTTGTACTGGCAGACCGCACCGCTCGATGGTGCGTGTTTGCCGAGTGGACATGTGTCTAATGTTGATATCTCGGCCCCCGTTGGGGCCTCCACATTTTTCCTAACGCAAACAAAAAGTGTGGTGATTTTTGGGCGGTATATGGTGCATATGCATGTCACGGCGTTTAGCTACGATTTGTTTTTCTTATTTTTCTTTTTTCTTCTTTTGATTTTTGTGTAAAAGACCACCAGAATGGGGTCCGTTGTCACGCGTCTAAAGAAATCATGTTGTTACGCTGCAATGTATGTCATGTAACTTACCTATGAAGCTTGCGGCGAGCAGAAGCCGTTGATCAGACTACCTACTACCTAACTATCTAGTTATACCTTATGTTTTAAATTCTGTTTTAATACATGCACGCAAATACGCCTATTGTTGTAACATACGCATCACGATGCTGTCTTGGTGGTGAATATACGCGTAGAAAAGAGGGCGGGTGCTGTTAGCCCTATTCTGTCGAAGTACTACCTACCTATAATTCACACCAGACTCCCTTCAACTTAGTAGCCGTGCAATGGTTGGTACTTACTGTATAATGCTTACAGTGCCTTACAGTGCCTTACAGTTTACAGGATATCATCATTTCCAAAGTAAAATTACCCGCTTGTTCTCTCTCTTTCTATACGTGGATATACGTATATACATGTATAACTCATATTTTTTCCACTTTCGATTCACATAGCACCAAAGTCCGGGGTACAATGTAGAGTCGCATCCGGATGCTGCCAAAGCACTTCCGGATCTGCGCAGTACGGGTACTTGCCCTGTAGTACAGGCTGCCAACAGGTGCCAAGTACAGGTACAGGCAACAACTGGCAGCCCGCTGATCAGAGCTGAGCCAACCATGTGATAGCATGGACGGACTCTCTGGCGCGCGCTCTGATTCGCACAGTGATCCCGCATCTGCTCAACCACTGAGCCGCGAAACTTTGCAACATCGAGCCTTTGCGAGCCGGAGGGAGCCAGAGGGGGGAAAGAATCCCAGATTTCCTGTTCCATTCCGTTTTCTTTTGCATTTCTCGCCTCGGCGACGCGAACTCGACCATCGTCACGACCATTGAAGAAAACCAAGCAGAAAAGCCCTGCCCCGGCGATCGGCTCGACGACCAAAAGCATACGCGCTTCGAATGGCAGCGCCCTGATCCGCGAGCGTCGAAAGCGAGAAAAGCCAATGAAGTCGACGAGGCGGAAAGCATGACATGAGACTTGGCTGCGCAGGGCTTCATTCTCCCACCAGCAAGACCAGCGGCAGATGCTGACGGAGCGATGTCGTTCCGGGGGACGCTGCCTTCGGGACAGGCCTTTCCTGGCCAGGGAGACCAGCAGCAACATCACCACAATCACCATCACCAGCAGATGTACGGACACCCGGCTGCGGGCTATCACTTCCAGCAGCAGCAGCAGCAGATACAACAGCAGCAACAGCAACAACATAATCAGCAGCAGCACCCAGCAGCGCTTCACCATGGCCAGCAGCCCATGTACCCCGGCGCAATGGCCCACGAGCAGCAGTTCTACCACCAGAGCCCGCAGCCTCATCCCCAGCCTCAGCCTCAACACGGCATGTATATGCAGCCGCAGCAGTTCCAGCCGCCGGTGCACCAGCCGTCGCCGTACGGCGTTGGCTTCAACGGCTTCGTCAACTACGAGGGTGGAGGCCATCACCTACCGCCGACGGGCCAATACCTGCCGCCAAACAACGTCTGGCAGCAGCAGCAACAGCATCACCAGCAGTCCATGATGCAGCAGCCGATGCAGCATCAGGCTCTCCCTCACCAGCCGTTACCGCCGCAGCAGCAGCAGTCTCTCCAACACGTCCACCAGGTCCAGCGCCAACCGCAACACCATCAACCGTCCCCGATATATCATGCTCATACACCCTCGCCTGCGCCCTCTCTTCCTCCACAACCGTCGCCTATAAGAACACAGGCGCCGCCGCCTCTTCGACCGCCGTCTAATCCGCAGCCGCTACAACACCAGTCACCTGCGCCTCAACTGGCACCTCAACTGCCGCAAGTACACCAGCAACAACAGCAGCGACAGCAACAGGGAGAGGAGCAGCACCAACACTATCCTCCGCAGCCTCAACAACATCAGCAGCCTCAGAAGCAGCAGCAGCAACCGCTTCCACCACCTCCTCCTCCACCACCACAGGTGCAGTCGCAACCGCAGTCGCAACCGCAACCGCAGCCTCCCATACCTCAACCAAGCCAGAGCGCCGAGAAGCCCCAGCAGGATTTGCTTCCCGATCCGCCGCAACCTCCCCAATATGTACATCCTTCAGAGCTCCAGCAGGAGCCGGTACACTATGTCAACCTTCAAGATATTCAGAAGCAGCCGTCGATTACCTCTTTGCCTATATCCACGACGACGAGCTCGCCGATTGTCCCCGTCACCAGCCAAGAAAAACCTAAAGAGTCTATCGTCGTCAAGCCCTTGTATCCCAGTGCGATGCCGATCAAGCAGGAAAAGCAGGAAGACGATTCTATTGCGACTCGAGTATTTCAGCAAATTCCCGACGCTCGCATCAAACCCAGTCCGCATTCCTCAGTCACCAACTCACCTTCACTATCCATGAGGTCCCCCAGCATCACTAAGAAGTCGCCCGCAGTGACACCTAAACCTCGGCCCGTGAACACGGCGCCTTTAATGATTGCCGTTGCGGAAGAGTGCCTCGAAAAGGCGCGCAACGCCTCGCACGACGTGGCCATGGCTCTATGTCCGAACCAAGTCGACGAATACCAAGAGCTGATTGCGACGTCATTATCATGCCTAGAGGCTGCATTGCAGAGTAATTCACAGCTTGCGCCGCGGGAAGAGGCGCGCATACGAATAAGATACGCTGCTCTTTTACAAGAGGAGACGGAGAATTTAATGGAGGCGGAGACGGCTCTAGCAAAGGGTATCCCGCTTTGCGACAAGGTGAGTTGCAAGATTTCGTTTCGTTTTCTTTTGCCTGAAAGCCCGCTGACATGGAAGAAATTAGCACCGTCTGTTTGATCTGAAATATTGCATGCAATATCTTATGCTCAAGGTTTTGTTCCAGAGGAATCATAAAGCAGCATTAAAAGCGGTAGACAGTCACATATCTAACTGCGAAGTGTAAGCCATGGATTCCCCCTTTGAAAATCAGCCAAGGCTAACAAGAATATTCAGATTCAAGCATGTGCAATGGTACTACGCGTTTCGCCTATTAAAAGCCTCCTTTTATCTTGATATTGGAAGTATATCTGACGCAGGCGCCCTTGACAATATACGATCCATCCAGAACGTCGCCAACACTAGAGGCGATACCGCGCTCTCCGTCCTCGCCTCCTTAATAGAAGGGTTCACTCTCCTCAAGACGACCAAGGACGGCAACATGGAGAAGATCCAGGCCTGCATCGCGCAGGTGGCTAAATATCAGTTCGATCCGTCAGTGCAAATCACACAACTCACCATGTTGACGCTGTTACTCGAAGTTGCAGCAAGTCTACACCACCAGAACCCAGACCATACAGCCCAGAAGCTGCGGCAGCTGCAGGTGTGCCTGGACGATTGCGAAGATTGGCATAATGTCAAGTCGGACTTTCTCGTGCCCATCAAGAAGGAGCCGTCTGCGGGCAGGACTGTGAGCGATGATACCCAGGCTATTCTGCGGGTGGGCGAGGGTGAGGGCGAGATGGATTATCTAGTCATGACGTTTATGACGAAGATGGAGCTGAGATCGCTTGTGTATGTGCCTCTGCAGGATATTTACTGCTCTGCCCCGTTTGTGGCGACGATTTCACCGACAGAGAGCTAACGATTGGGTGTAGATTTACCATTAGCGGCCTGGCCAACTTTCACAAGCCTTCTTCACAAGGTCGCAGATCAACAGAGTTCTGGAAGGAAGGCCTCAAGATACTCGAGACATGTAAGTTTACCACGTATACACAGTACGCAATGCCTTTTACCTTTTACTGACACTTCTTAGGGGACTCTTCAACGGCAGGCATACCATACGGCGCCCCCGTCCCCTTGAATGTGGCAATCAAGCAGCGGGCTTGGCGGATAGAGGCTCAGGCTTATCTAACTGTTCTCTTGGGATTGGTAGCGGCCAGTCACTGTCAATGGGCAACGGTTAAGCAGATGGTTCAGAATCTTGAGTCTTTTGTTTCTCCCTCAACGCAGCCTACTGTGAGATTGCTCTCCATCTATCTAAAGGGCGTATATCACCAGGGCATCGGCAGCCTCCAAGCCGCCCTCGATGTCTTCATGGATGACCGCTTCAAGGTCCAACAGCAAGGAAGCATCGGAATCAAGGCCGGGCAGCAGGAGATTGCGCTGCTTGCAGGGCTGAACAGGCTCTGGATCATGCAGCACCCGTCTTGTCGAAATGACCAGGAAACCTTGGATCTCATCGAGCAGCTTCAGCCACACTGTTCCAACCACGGCAACATCGATCTCCGGACTGCATGGCACAACGTCATGGCGGCCTTGGTGACAGATCCCCCTCAGCAGCTCAACCAGCAAAAGCAGCACATCCACGCCGCCATGGCAGGCTCCAAGGTTACTAGCAATGTGCTCGGAGCCGCGGTGACGCTCTGCATTATGCGCAGCCGCTTCTTCGAAAATGTCATTGGCGAGCAGGCTCTGAAAAGCGCTCGGGCCGCGGCGAAGCAAGCGGAAAGGAGCGGCAACGTGCTATGGCAGAGCGTGGCAGACGGCATGCTGGCACAGTCGTATGAGGTGCAGGGACAGAGAGACGAAGCCAAACAAGAGTGGGACAAGGCAACCGAGGAAGCTAGAGACGCGTTTTCCAGGAGCTTGTGAGAGTGTGTTTCGTGTAAAAGGACCAAGAAAAGAAATAATTGTTTTGGCGATTCATAGGCAGAAGGAATCGTTCTTGTACAGGAGGAGTTTAAAGGGTTTGACTGGTGTTGTTATTTTTTTTTGCCCTTGGTTTCCCATCCCATTGTTTCACTAGAATATGATTTCTGACCCAGAAGGGAATTTGGATGGCTTTTATACAGCAGGGATCCTGGTATATATGAAAAGATTAAAAAAAAAAACCTGTACGATACCTGACCAGAAAGATCATGGCCATTATTATACTTGGGAGGAAAAGGGTCATGGGACACTGCTAGATGAAAAAGAGTCCTCGAGGGCGTTGTTTTCAATATGGTTTCCTCCTTTTAAAATCCCGAGACATTAGAAGTCTGTCGTAACTGTGTGTCTGAATGGCTTTCTTTTTGGCCCTTCTCTTACCTGATTGAACGCACAGTCCTTGCTACATAAACCAGGCATTAATTATTAAATGAGGTATTAGGAACGATGATTTGGCCTGTCTCATCGACGACCAAAGCCTGGCGGAGGCTGGAAGCCCGGAGGTGGCATGAATCCAGGCGGCACCGGAGGCGTCCCTGAAGCCCCTGGAGGAGGAACGGGGAAGCCAGGAGGCGGGACAGCTGGGAAGCCTTGCGGCGGAGGAGCACCACCAGGAGGGCCTCCAGGAGGAGGGCGGAAGTGGGACGGATGAAAGTCCGCAGGGTTCGTGTATCCGCCCTGGATCTGAGGAGGCCGCGCAGGCAGGCCTGAGGGGGCTGGCGGGAGAGGAGCTGAGCCTCGTCCGGCGCCAGGGAAGCCATTGGGAGCGTGACCGGGGCCGGCGCCATAAGGAGACGGTCCCCGTGGAGGGGGGGCAAAGCCGCTTGGAATATTCGCATGTGTGGGCGTTCCCATCATCGGCGGCGGTACTCCAGCTGGCATGCCTGGAATTGCACCGGAATCGAAGCCAGCTGGAGCGGAGGGAGGTGCTGCGTTGGCGGGAGCAGGAGCAGCGGCGGCGGCGGTGTTCATGATGAAAGCTTGGGGAAGGGGTTGAGCCTCGGGAAGGATATTTCTTGATTTGGCCTGTGCAGCCAAGGCTCGCTCGGCCTGGTCGCCGTGTCTCTCCCCCTTGCCATCCTTCTTGAAGGCGTATTGCACGGACACCTCCTTGCTGAGGATGTACTGGCCATGGAGGTTGGAAATGGCAGCATCACTGCTCTCGAAGTCGCCGTAGCTGACGAAGCCAAAGCCCTTGCTCGCGCCGCTATCTTCTCTGGCGACCTTTGGAATGCTCAGCAGCGGGCCGAAGCGGCTGAAGGTGTCGTAGAGGATCTTCTCGTCGACCATGGGGTCCAGGTTTCCGATGAACAGCTCGGCGCCCACCTCGGCAGCTTTCTGCTTGTCGGCACTGGCCTTGTTGACGCGCAGGGACTTTCCGTAGAGCTTGATGCCGTTCATGACGTTGGCAGCATACTCGGCGTCGGCAGGGGTGCGAAACTCGACGAAGCCGAAGCCCTGGTGGGTTTGAGTGACGCGATCTCGAGGCATGTGGATGTTGTGGATGGGGCCCATCTGTAGCATGATTTCGTAGACCATGGTCGAGGTCGCGCGCTCGTCGATGTTGCCAATATAGACCGTAGCCTCCTTGTCTTGCTCCCTGAATTCTTGGTTAGTTGTGATTCACAGCAAAATGGCATCAATACGCGAAGCAGCTGGCTGGGGTGGAGGAAGCTTGAAAGAAAACGTACCAATGCCTGTTGACTGCCATTTCGACGGTTTGCAGGCCGCAGCCTCACGAGAACGGCACGATGGAAGGGCGTATATTGCAGAATGCAGGAATTGGCTCTCCGTATGGCGTTACTAACAATGGGCGGAGAGCGAAAGGAAAAGAAAACAGCTTCGATATCGTCGTCGCGTGTGATGCAGCTTTGGATGAAGCTCGGAAATCTCGACCGACCACAGAAATGTTTCGCCGCAGCGATACCTTGTACCAATGTATCCTGCCAGACGGGGCTTATCGAATTAGCCAGAGTTGAGCCGGCGCTGATTAGCGGGCGCTTTGCCGCAAGCAGTAATGACCGCATTAGCGGTGCTAGTGCCCGGTACGTACATGCAGGCCTCGAAATTTCTTAGTAGGCGGGACACTGGACGAAGAGCTTGGAAACTTCAATTTGCGCACTCGCATCTCCAACGAGGAACATTTCCCACTGTTCGAACCCGTTCGCCCGACGACCTCCGAATCCAAGATGTTTGCCCTGTCAGAAGAGTCCAAGGTACGACATGCGCAGCGCTTCGAGAAGGAAGCGAAGAACTAGAAAGAGAAAGAGAGAGCGGAAGAAGACGATGAGGTGATGATGGTGAAGATGCAACCGGGACTAACTCTGTCTACCAGGAGCGCATTGCCAAGCTCATCGACATTTCACGAGTCGCCATTCACTAGTATGGAATTCCCCGATATCTCATCTTCCCCTGTGGACATATAGCAGCTGACCGTTGCGATCTAGTGGCTATCTCCCTCTGATTCTCTACCTGGGTATGCGATCTCGAAGCGCATGTACGGCTTATCCCGGAAACTGACTCTCTCTCGTCTGGATTTAGGCTACACCCGCAGCGACCCTCGGCCCTCAGTCATCCGGTATGCCACTGCTCCCAACCTCAAAACACATCCAAGATGCATGCCGCTAACAGAAACAGCCTTCTCTCTCCCCTCTCTTAAGCGAAAGAAGAGACGGGCATGCGATGTTGTACGATATACGATTATAATACGGCTCAAGGGGATGGGAAAAGGCATGCAACAAGAAGAGGCGAACTACCAGAGAGACGCTCAATGTCCAGCATTCATCATGGCGTTTGGGTAATATGCACATGTCTTGAAAGAAGGCAAGGCGCGGGACCGGGTGATACACTATGACGACGTCGCCGGGAGGACGCAAAGGAGGACCAAATGCTGCCATGTACCAATAAGAATGTATTATCTACTGCTCCGTACCGTAATTGGACCATGTAACCACTCTGCGAATCCATCACCCAATTCTGCGGGCAATCTGATAGTGCTTCGGCCGTACATACTACATCCTACTAATTCTCAACTTGGCTATTCAATATCCCACCGACTACGTGGACCTCAAACAACGTAGCAAGATGAAGAGGAAACATCTCTTATCTATGACTAGGCATTACCTGATTCTTCAAGTAACCGCTATTATCGCTGCCCTCTTCTAATATCAAGCTGCTACTATCTCTACATGCCTCAACTAATTTTGCCAGGCCGGTAAGCACATGCACAGGGGGATCCATGCGCCGATAGCGCTTTATCTACCGCTTTTTATTCAGAACTGCAAATGTAAACCGCTTGTTCTACCGTCAGCAGTCGAGAAACCAGCTTCAACCAGTGAGTTGCCGGCCAATTGAAAGGCACCACCTCTTCTCTCAACCCCAAGAACTCCAGCACAGTCAAGCCAAAGACACAGCAAACCAGCTTTACAATCTCAGAAGAAACGAATAGCCGAATCCTAGCCTCCCGACAGCGCCCGACTCCCCCCCCAAACAAAAGCCCGCCCGCCGCTACCCGCCAGTGACCGGTTTGCCCATACCGGCAACTGGACTGACAAAGAAAAAAAAAAAAAAAAGGCTATACGCCAAACACGCCACAAAAGCCGACGAAGCAAAGCTGTTCCATATGAACGAGCACTCGCCCGTCAACTTTGCGCCGCCCGACAATGTGACCGGACGCAATTCCGATCCGAACAGCTCCATGCCCGGAAGCCATGATGCCGGCGGCCTGTCTCCGGCCGTTGTCGAGTCGATTGCTGGGCTCAGCGCGGGCTCGATTGCGACGTTAGTGGTGCACCCGCTGGACATTGTCAAGACGCGCATGCAGAGTGAGTTTCTGTTTCTGCTTCTCTTTTGGGTTGGGTTGGGTTGGGTTGGTTCTTTATGTTGGTGATGTATGGAGTATCATGAGGGGGGGATGAGGGGGGAGTTGTGACGAGAGACAGAGAGACACAAGGACAAGAAACAGAGCTGGAGCAGAGCAATACACACCTTCATCTTCATCACGATACTGACAATCCCACTCGACAGTCAGCACCAGCGCCGCCTCCGCCGCCTCCCACCACCTCTCCATGGTCGCCATGCTCCGATCCCTCTCCAGCAACCCGCGGCCCTTCGCCTCCCTCTACCGCGGCCTCGTCCCCAATCTGTCCGGCAACGCCCTCAGCTGGGCCTCCTTCTTCTTCTTCAAGACCCGCTTCGAAGACCTCCTCACCTTCGCCCGCGGCTCCGACCGCCCCACGCCCTCCGACTACTTCGTCGCCAGCGCCCTCGGCGGCGCCGCCACCAGCTTCCTCTCCAACCCCATCTGGGTCGTCAAGACGCGCATGCTCGCCTCCGACAAGGGCGCAAAGGGCGCCTACCCTTCCATGTGGTCCGGCTTCAGGACAATCTATGCCACCGAGGGCTTCCGCGGCCTGTACCGCGGCCTCGGCGTCTCCATGATCGGCGTCTCCCACGGCGCCGTCCAGTTCGCCGTCTACGAGCCGGCCAAGCGCTTCTACTTTGCGCGCCGCCAGAGCCAGGGCATCGACACCGGCCGCATGACGACCGAGGCCACCGTCGTCATCTCCTCGGCCGCCAAGCTCATCGCCGGCGCCGTCACGTACCCGTACCAGGTGCTCCGGAGCCGCCTGCAGGTCTTCCACGCCGACGAGAAGTTTGGCAAGGGCTTCAGGGGCGTCGTGAGGATGACGTGGAGGGAGGAGGGCATTCGGGGCTTCTACCGCGGCTTGATACCGGGTGTCGTCCGAGTCATGCCCTCGACTTGGGTCACGTTTCTGGTGTACGAGAATGTGCGTTACTATCTGCCTCGCTGGACGTCGTAATCAAGTCGATTCGATGTAGATGAGCGTCTCCGGGTCGTTTTTGGTTTCTTCATATTGCTTCTTTTTCGATCTTGGTTTCTCGGCGGCAAGCAGTTTCTGGTAAATCAGCATTTGTCTATACGAGGAGCATAATTCGGCGTTCTGAGAGAGGGGGCAATCACATATAGAGCGGACAGGTTGGGAAGATAGATAGATGCCGTCACTAAAATAGCCGTCAATTACGGAATAGATGATTCTTTTTTTCCCCTTTTCAAACTTACTCATCCACGGTATGGTCCAATGAAGAAAACCTGATATAAGATCACAGCATGTCCTCATTCAACAGAAACTTTAGATGCTGCTTGAAATTATCCGTTGTACGGCATGGATAGGATGCCTGCCTTTCCCTCTCTTCCAACAGATAAGCAGCTGGAATTCAAAACATCATCTTCACGAATCCAAACAGTAGTCTCTCACCGACAACAAGAGGTCCTACGCGAGTTTACTAGAAGGCGACCACAGCCACAATTCAACATGCAAATCACTCGCAAAGTTCTCAAATTCAGCTCACCGTCAGCTGAATGCCACGGCTACAACCACACCGTCCGCCGTGTGTACCGCCCTACTTCCATGTCAAGCCGGACAAACTATCGACGGCAAAGCTTTATCCTTTCTTTCCACAAATCCGAGTGGCAATGTCATACTAGGCAGGGGGGAAGAGGCAACATGGAAAGCAAATTATTTACGGCCCAGCCGTCTTGATCAGATGATGTGGTGGCAAAGGCAATCAATACTGCGAGTTTAATGACATGCCAACGCCATCAGAGTGGATCAATATGAGCGAAGCAGACGCAACGCCTCCCAGATGTATCTCTGGTTCTCAATGAGCTGTTGGCATCCATGCCATCATTTCCCGGCAAGTGGGCGGCGTTCGGTACCAAGCAGTACTTCGTTTGGTCATAATTTTGGGAGGGCCTCAAAGTACACGTTTGTTTTCTAGATCGGCGTGCAGGCCCAGCGATCTGGTGCATGCAGCTCAGGTAAAGTAACTCCCCTGGGTGTATGTACATGCACGGAGTGCTCTGCATGTACTCATCAGTATGATGCATATGCAACCTTTCGTAGCCCGTCCAAGTACGTATGCTGGCAGCACACTGACTCGCTCGATGTTTGGCTAGACTTGATCCAACATGACTCCTCGTGTTTCGTAGCTCGTCTAATGAGGCAGCAACTAACACCCGGGCTGGCTGGCCTCAACGCAACTCATCCGCCGCTCGAGACAACAACAGCCATCACGATAGTTCCGCAATCAAAGGCAAGGTAGCTCCATATCAGAAAGGGTGGAGCTATCAAATGGGAGGCCCGCCAGAGGCAACGAAGCGGACTCGCTTTGGATTGCTAATTTGGTGGTGATCAACCTAGACTGGTGTCAAGCGGGTGTTTTGAAGGCAAAATATGAGATATGACAGATGTATGGAACCAGCACCGTCCCGTTTGGCCCTGCACAGGCGGGCGTACGAGTGTCTATGAATATTAGTGACAAAGTCCACATGTTGGAAATGGAGCAAAGCGACGGCAGCGCCTGAGCTCCGGTCTTTGCACCAGACCAGGGGGGGTTCTAGGGCTGAAATGGACCGGGGACATGAAAGACGCTCCACGAATCGCGCGTGAGCGAGTAGCGAGGACGTGAGTATGCGGAAGAGGGAGACAAGAATTGGATGAAACGTAAGAAGAGCAAGGCCAAGAAGCGGGAACGGAAGAGAGAAGTGAGAGCCAAATAGGCTGTGCCGCTCCGCCTGCATGCAGGTTGCTGAAAGTGTCATCGACCTAAGACTCCGCGAAGCTAGTCCTGCAGAGATCCTCCATCTCGATGCTGAAAGCCCAGCGAGGCAGGGTCTCCTGATAGAGCCTGGCCGCCAAATTGAAGCCCTCTCAAGCGCCGCAGCTACCGAAAAAGGCTTGGAGATACGCCGCTTAGAAAATTGGCGACTAAAGCAATGCAAGGGAATCCCGAAGGGGATGTGGAGGAGGGACCGTGGCGTTCGTGACGCCGATTCCCATGTTGCCCGTCCTGGGGATACCGGAAACAAACGAAGCTCTCCTGGTTGTGACGATCGTCGAGGGTACCATGAACAAGGTTAACCTAGAGCCTTCGGCCATCCAGATCCGGGGCAATGTTGCTATGGCAGTGCCTTCAGTCGACTTGCTCCCTTGTTGGAATCACCATCATGAGGCATGCTCTGTAAGGCTGCAGCTGTTATCCTCATCATAGCCACTCTTGCCACTCCCAACAGATGTAGACTAAGATTACATGCTCGGACCAACACCACCAAGAACCAAAAGTAAAAGGGAAAAAAATCAGCGCAACCCCCAATGGTAGCCCTAGTTGCCACAGGTGTTTCGGAGGTTTCTCTAATCTGATAGGCAGAGCTTCGGAGGCACTTGGCGGAGCCGTATGCGCCTTAGTTGGACGGAAATGAAGTGATACATAGCTTGATGGCTGCTTGTCCAAGAGCCGAGCGCAAGGGGCAGGGATAGGCCACCTTCTTTGAAGCATCGGAAGGGTATCAGCCGCAGTGGAAGCCGCAGTGGGAGATTCGATGAGCACGATTCTCTTTTGTCATTCGCGGGGCTTCTTAGATCCCCCAATGCGCATCCCTACTCTTAACATCATTTTGCGTTGCCCTATCCTATCGCATCATGAGCCGCTAGTCGCCCCCGCTACTTCAAGTCTGCATGAATAGTTGGCCACATGTAATACGAGCATGCAAGAGGCGGGAGTTTGGGCAATGAGAGTGTGATGTAGGTAAGAAAATCGTAGACGGGAGTGAGGTTGGAGATGCATTGACAGGGACAGGGCAGCAATGTCTAACAGAGCACCTAGGACACGTCTAGCCTCTAGGAAGAGAGATGCATCGTCTCTTCGAGGGGGGTGTAGATGCATCAGTGGAAACAACGACACATAAGTGGTAGGATCCTTGGGTTGCTGAAACTATCGCCACATACAAGTCGATGAAGCGAATCAAAGATGAAATAGGGGAGTGTGATATGGATCTCACAACTCACACGTTGGGGCACTGCTCACGGCTGAGCCTCACATAGCCGCTTGCCAATGAAGACGATCATACACCCTGCTGGGCGGCACGTAGCAGAAATGGCTGTTATCACCATGGAACTCGTGCAGCGTCGAGACCAATCTATTTCGCCGGCTGCTTCCTGCATGACACAAGTCAAACAAGGAGGCGTAGTCATGATGTTGTAGCGGTAGCTGAATGGAGTATCCTTGAGACGTCTTTCCGCATATGGTCAAACCACGGCTCGGTACTCCTCTCAAGGACAACTACTTGAGACATAGCCGGAGCTTTCTCGATGCTCTCACCCCGGCTGAGGTGTCCGCCAGCATATAGAGTGGCTGTATGTTTCTCCTGCAAGACTGTGATGACCACCCATGGGGCATGCGTCGATAGTTTGCCTGCGAGTTTACGGCAATCACACCGCAATATTGCCTTCGACGACACAGCCCGACACTGTACTAGTGAACGCATTTCTAGGAGGCAATCAAATTCATCATAACACATGTAACTCTACGAACAAATGACAGGGTCAAGAGTGTCAGGTAGACAGTACAAGGAAGAGACGAGCAGTAGCGAGCGGGCCTCGCAGAAAAGAGTGTGAAAATTCGTAAACATGGCAAATGAAAGCAGTAAGAAAACTTACTTGTACACACATACACCTGCTAAACAAAATCGTGATGATAGAGCCCATAGCAAAGGCCGCTTCGGCCTTGGCAGTATAAGCGCTTCCTATCTATACACCAAGCTGGTCCGCAAATGAGTTAGTAAAGATATGGGTGGCTGGTGGCTAGTATTCTCAGTGAAAGTTGTCATAAATTCGAATGATATGTGTCAAATGATGTTAGACAAGCAGATTGGTCATAAATGGTGAAGATGTGTTCAGCTTGTCGAATAATGTTTCGTGCCCGCTTCGGCATGCCATCGCAATTTCTTGTGTCAAGGAAATCAAAGACACCTCTTTCTCCACAATACGTCATAACCGTCTTCAGCCCTCCGAGAGAAGAGACTGGGAGATATCAGGGAAATTTTGAACCCGCCGACGATAGGGCGCAAGAACCATCTACAGCTCGCGTTCCTGCATCCTTGAATACAACAATAGCGAAGCTGGGACCAAGAAACGGCCCCTGATCCAGTAAAATGGAGACAAGCGTTGCTTCATCGATCCGCTCTGTCTCGCCACACTAGACATGCAGCTCTCTCGGACGTGGCGCGAGATGCCAGAAGACCAGAGCGTCTGTCTGTTCATGACTGTCCATGGATAATTGGCCGCTTCGCGATCACCCCCATGGCCAGAGAGTCCGCCTAATGGGGGCGTGTGGATATTTCCAACCTCAGATGGCAGAAGTTCCTGCGGGAGAGAGCCATGAGCATCTAGACCGTCTCATCTGGCCGCTGTGCTCTTGGGGCGTGATGTTTTCTCTTTTCTCTTTTCTCTCATTTCGTTTGCCCCTCCCTCTCTTGGACATACACACAAAGGCTCTGAGACTTGCATTCGCTAGCGATCGGGACACACATCTCTGGGATGATGGAAAAAGCAGATGTGGGCAAAAACTTCGATCGCCATCTTTTATGCCGTTTCCCACGATCGCAGACTTCGGTGCGCCCCGCCTTCGGGGAGATCGATTGCTGCAGCCGCTTGCAACAAGAGGCCAGGATGCTTCCGGAAATGAGGGGGACCATGTAGGTCTGAAAGACGAGCAAGCGAAGCAGCAAATAAGAGAGGCCCGTCTCTTGCATGCCCAGTATGACGGGCCGCCACCAAACATGATAAGGAGCAGTCGTTATGCAGGGCCATGAGTGGCCAGCATCAGAGGGCGATGAACCTGTTGGAGTGAAGTAGGCAGCTAGTCGTTTTGGTGTTGGAGGCATCGCCAGGGACCAGGGCTGGACGAAGGGAACTAGAGCAGTCAATGGCGGGTGGTAGTTCCATGTCCGAGCGGGACGAAAAAGCCAAGCGCAGCGCTTGAATCTTAAGGTTAGGTGCCATCTCGAGACAAAGCAAGAAGCTCAGCTGCGTGGGCTGCCTCTCTGATTCGACGCCGGTGTTGAGTGCACGAGCATCTGCTGAAGCTAGAGGATGTTGCTTCTGACTCGACGTTGGCAAGTTGGTTGGGGGGACCAAAGATAAACCGGCTCCGACGTCAAGCGCATGTACATACTCCGTAGTACCATCTCTGTATGTACTCGTACTGCCCGTTT